CCTTTATTCATGTCAACAGCTCTTGTGGGTCCTGGAAGAGCCACACCTCGGGGATGAGGGCAGAGGTCAGGCGCAGGGATGGGGGGTAGGCAGGGTCCCTGCTCTAGCTTTGCATTGCTTGACCTATTTTTGTAGAACAGATTCTCAAAATTAAAATGTAAACATGGCCCTGTCTTGCTCAACATTCCTCAGGGGCTTTCCACTGCCACAGGAATAAACCCTGCTCCAGGTCCATATCTGGTCCATAGGCCACCTTTCCTCCTTAATAGTGTTGAGGCCTGTCCCTTTCTTTCCAGGTGCCCTTGTCTACATCAAGAATGCATCCTCTCATCCTCTACACAGTTCACACCAGCTCAGCCTTGAGACAGGTCCCATTGCTTCTCCACCCTACAGCTAAGGTCAAGAACAAGGCCCTTTCCTATGGCCTTTCTTGGCTTTATTAAAGTCCATATTCCCTGGCTTTGGGATTTCATTTGTTCACTTTGCTTCACTTTCCCCAACACAGACACTCTTCCTGTCCTCCAATGCACAAAGTATAACTAACTATGCACTTATTCTTCTTACTTCCAGTAGCTAAGTTCCATAAGGGTAGGCAGCAGTTTTCTTGTCTTTTTCCCAGGATACACCTGGCACAGTAAGCATTCAATGGGAAATATAAAGGAAGCAGATATACTATTTTACTGTAATCAAAGCATTTACTATCCTCATCTTAAAGATAAGGAATGACGGGAAACATTGGGGAAGAGTGGAAACAGCTTCAGCGTGTCAAAACAGGCTTCCAATGCAGACCAGCTCTGAAATACCAGGTGGCGTCCACCACACCACACCAAACCAGCCCTTTCCAGTTCCCAGGACCCAGATTCAACACTGTACCTCTGCAGGCTTCCTCCCTGTTCCTGGCTAGTCACAGGCTCTCATAAGCCATGACTTTGGAAAGTAGCAGTTCCAGAGTGTTGATTGCCTCCCCAGGTACACTGGCCGGTACTTGGGAAGAATTCTGGTTGCCACCACTGGGGCAGTGCAACTACATTCTAGCAGGTAAAAGCCTGGGATCCCCTGCAAGGCACAGGAGAGTCCCTCAGAACCCAGGATAGTCCCACATAAAACAGGAGGAAACTCAAGTGGAGTGCAGTTGCCGCAGGAACCGGGCTGGAAGTACGGAAGAGTGACACAACCTTATGTCTTAGTTACCGTTCTATTGCTGTGAAAAGACATCATGACCTGGACCACAATAATTATTATAAGGCACTTAATTGGGGTAGGCTTATAGTTCAGTGATATAGTCCGCTATCAGCAGGACAGGAAACATGGCGACACATTGGCAGCCAAGGTGATAGAGAAGGAGCTGAGAGTTCAACATCTGGATACACAAGTGAGAGGAAAAGACACTAGGCCAGGCTTTAGCTTTTGAAACCCCAAACCCCACACAAACCCAGGGGCACATTTCCTCACAAGGCCACACTTACTTCAACAAGGTCACTCCTCCTAATAGTCTCCCTCTCAAGTAGTGCCACTCCTAATAACCCATGCATTTCCATTTAAATATGAGGTTACTGGGGGCCGCTCTTAGTCAAACCACCACAGTTCCCTTTTTAACAGTTTTAAAAAAATGGCATCTTACATTACAGTCCTGTACCACTAAAGTGTACATTTCTTACTTTCACCCTACCAGGACTTCTCTTCCTTCTTTTAATAAAGAGCAGGACAGGTGGGTATAATATCTGTGCAGCTATATCAAGCAAGTGGCAACTGAGATCCCCAGTTTTGAGGAAACAATAAAGATTACAGAAAACTGTAGCAATTTAATAGTTTATGTGCCCATATGAAGAAAGTGGGTAGAGCAGAGTAGAAGGGTCAGTGGGTAAAGGTGCCCAACACGCAACCGAACAACCTGAGTTCTAGCCCAGTACCCACACAATAGGAAAAAACTGATACCTACAAGTTATCACACACAAGCACTGTGGCACATGTACATACACACACAAATAAACACACACATACACACAGAGAATGAAAAATAAATAAAAGGAGAGTTGTACAGTTTCTGTAGACTGCAGCAAAGAAAATTCTATTTCCTAGCGATGGCAGTCTGCTTCTAGAAATCTTCATAGTGCAGCAGTTAGCACGTAGGACACCTGGAGCCAATCCCCAGCACCAAAAGCAAATGAGCACTTAAAGTCCACCACTGTGATTCCCCACTGCCATATTCCCACTCCCGGTTATATAATTCAGGGGTCTGATGTGTGGCTCATTTAGGTCTTCAGCAATCTCCAGTGTACAGCTCAGGCCAAAAACTGCTAGTCTAATCCAGATCTCATAACTAAAAGTCAGGTGGTAGTGACATACAACTTGAATCCCAGCACTACGGAGGCAGAGACAGGTCAACCTCTGTGTTGAAGCAAGCCTGGTTTAAAGAGTGCCAAGACACCCAAAGCTACAAACCAAAACCAAAAACAAACAAACAAACAAAAGGAAAAAGAAAAAAGGAGGAAAAGAAAGGAAAAGGGAAAAAAGGGAAAGGAAAGAAAATAAAAAAGAAACAAACTAAATTCTTGGCTCAGAAACCAAAGAAGTTTGAAGTAGACATGGAAAGAAAGGGAGCGGACAGTAAGGAAGCCATAGTTTCATTTCATTTCTCTTGCTATAATAAAATAGCCTGACAAAAAGCAACATAGGGAAGGGAAAGGTTCACTTGGCTTAAAATCTCAAGTTATAGCTGATTACTACAGAAGTTAATTCAAGAACATAAGGCATCGAGTTCATAGTCTAGAGCAAAGAGAAAATCCAAACATCTCTGCTTGCTTGTTTTCACCAAGCTTCCCCCTCTCTTATACTGTCCAGGGAATGGAATGGTACAGCCAACAAACTGGCTGGGTCTTCTTACATTAATCAACACTCAAGACAATCTCCTACTGGCCAACTAGCTCTAGATAATTTCTAAGACTCTCTCCCCAGGTAATTCTAAAGCAGCATTAAATTGACAGCTAAAATTAAGCAGCACAAGACAAAAAAAAAAAAAAAAAAAAAAAAAAAACAAAAAAAAACAAAACTTATTGAAATGCAATATGAACTGGAACTTGACTGGTTATTGTTCATTCTCCACTTTTCTCTGCCTTGACCCAATCCCAGGAGGCAGGCTCTACAGGTTGTTTTAGTAGCCTGCAAGAGCACTCAAGCAGGAGACTGGAGTGTGGGACGGCTGTAGCTCCTCTTGGGTGGCCTGCTCCTGGAGCACAGCTGAGCACACCTCCAGACAAAGCCTTGCTTCTTCTCCAGCAGTTATGTTCCCCTGCTCATGATACCTCACTACTGATGCCTGTCTTGAGGGCAGAGGACCAGAGCCGATCATTCAGCAGAACCTTCTCTCCAGGTGCTAAGGGGCCTCACAGCAGATGGTCACGCAAGAGGACAAAGACTGTGATGTTCCTCCAAACTCCACCTACTTGGTGACGACCTCTGTCCAGGGTACACCTAAAAATATGGTCTACCACATTCACTGGACTTCCGCTTACCGCGTCAGAAAGAGCAAAGCAAGAGAAATGCTAACCAGATACAATAAACCAAACTGTATTCCTGCAAGGTCATTACAAAATCCAAACAGTGTAAGAGAACCCGAAGAAAATGCACCACAAAATATGAAAAAGAGCAGTATCTGAAATCAATTACTGTCTCTTCCTGAAATAAAAAAACAGTATCACCCCTTACTTTACTACAGTTGCTGTTTACACCAGCCACTCACGAGAGCTGGAGATCTGTCTGTTCTGTCATGGGATCCCAAGTCAGAATTATGCATTTGCTTTTACAACAGGAACTGATGTTGTTAAATGCTTTAGATACGCATCACCCATGCTCCTCAGGACATCCCTGGGAAAGTAGGGCATGGGTTAACTACACATAACGGAGAAGGAAAAGCCCTCAAAGTGAGGTTTCAACCAAAAGCAAGCACTATGCACCAGCTCAGAATGCCTTCAACCTCATCCTCTGTACCACGCTGCCTCCCCAAGGTGAATTTAACCTGTACAACTTGACAGGATCAAGCTAGCTACTAGAAGGGGGAATTGATGAAAAAAAAAAAATCTCCTAATCTTGGCCCAACTATATAAAAATAAGAAATTATCCTAGTAACAATGCCAGCCTTCTTGAACTCACAAACACATAGCCAGGGCTGGCTTTCATTGACTACATGGCCGCAGTAAAAGCTATCCCCAGAGGAAGGCTGATTTAGCTGTATAACCAATCTACACCCCAAACTACAGGCTCCAAGCACCCAAACTCTTAGAGGTCATTGAGCAACGGTGAAAAGATAGCAAGAAAATATCACCAGTAACTACATAACTCAATAGGCAAAGCTCACTGTTGAAAAAAAAAATTTTTTTTACAGGGTCTTTCTGATGGATTTGGAAAAATTAGGCCTGTTAATCCAAACTTCTAAAAATTTGCGTTACCTGACAGATAGGAAAACGAGCCCATATGGCAGCCCACACGTAAATGCCTCAACTTATTTCTTTTAGGCACACAGTTACAACCCATCCATTTGGTGCATGGAAGGAAGAGAGATGCCAGCAGGGAAGGTTAAAGCTTGAGCATCCAAAACACAAGACAGCCTGCAAAGTGACAGAACCACGAAGTGCCACCCGCAGTGTTTGCGGCCAAGAAGAAGAAAAGCACGCTAAATTTTAATTATAAGTTTGGCAACTTTCTAAGACAAGAACCTGAGCTCCAGGAATCGCTCCCATCACCGAGCAAACCATCCCCCGAGTAGCGGCCAAGCCAGGGCAAAGAGTGGACGGTCGCTGCAGGGAGAAGCCGATCTCCTCCGCGAGGACCAGCCCGCCCGCGGCCAGCCGAGCAGCGGTTGATCTCGGGGCCATGTTTCTAAAAGCCCGGGCGGACAGCAGGGCGGAGGGTGCGCGGAGCGAAACCCCGGAAGGAGCGGGGAGGAGCGGGGAGGAGGCAGGAGCGTCCCGGGAAAAGTCGGAGAGGGCTGCTAACTGGCTCACCTAGCAGCAGCGTGCTCCAGGTCCGGCCGCGCCCGCGCCGCAGGCCCAACGCCCAGCGTAGCCCGGCCACCAAGCGGCCCGCGAGGCCGTCCCGGGCGGGCGCGGCGGCGGTCTCCGCGCGGGGCCCCTTTCTGCCCGCCGCGCCCCTGCGCCCCGGCGACGGCGGCGCGCGCTCCGGCCCCGGCTCCCCGGCGCCCACCTCGGATGTCCCACTCAGCGGCGGCGACGCGCGGGCCGGCCGGGGCGGCCTGGGAGCCGCTTCCCGGTGCTTGCTCCGCGCTTGCAGGACCATCTTGGCATAGTCGCGCCCGCTAGCTGCGCGCGCCCGGACGGCGGCCGCGATCCGCGGACTGGCGGTCGCTCACTCTGGCCGGCGAGGGCGGGCCGGGAGGCGGGGACAGCGCGGGCCGGGCGGCCGCTGACTACTGCGGGGCGGCCGGGAGGCGGCGCCGGACTCGCGCGCCTCCGCCGTTGCCGCTCTCGGGTTGCCACGGCGACAGCGGAACGCCGCGGGGCGGAGGCGGGGACAACCTGCGAGCGGCGCGGCCCCGCCCCTCCGGGACGCGCGCCCAGGCGCGCTCCTGCCGGCAAGCGCGCACGCGCGGGCTGCAAGCGGGGCGGGACCGACGGCCGGGGGAGCGGCGTGGACGACCTCCCGGAAGCGGTCGTGCGCCCTCGGGAACTGGGGGTCGCGATCGGAGGCGGCGTGGAGCCGTGTCGCGCTGGGCGGGAACGGGGTGGCCACCGAAGGGCGCAGCGTGTGTGCTCCGGTGCTCTGTACGTGAAACTAACAGGGTAAAGCGTGGACTGGCCGCTCCAAACAGCCTCTGATTCACTGATGAGAAGCGGGGACTGGATTGAGTATCCCTATAGAGGGTCCGGTAGTTTTGTAGCAGGAGTGTAAACGGAAAGCCCAGGTAGGAACCCAAACTTAAGTCATAAATGAAAAGGGCCTGTCCGCAAAGGTTATCCGCGTGTTACTTTTACCTGCTGTATTCTGTCTTCCTTATTACAAAGTATGGACACTGCTAAAAGAAGCGAGACTTCACTTGAAAACGACTCTTCTCATAGCAGGTGTGTAGTCAAGCCCAGGGAAAGTTTAAACAACAAACAAAAAAGCACATTCCAAGTTAACCTTCCTCGCCTCCACCCCAGGGCTATTTGCAGAAAGCCTTAAGAGAATTGCAACAGAGACTTATTTCTTGATTCCTGTCCAAATGAGCTTGTCCCAAGAAGTCGATTTTGGAAAGCAAGGCACATCGTTTCGCTCTTCTGTAATTAGGAGTTTCAGAAGGCTGAGTCTTTTCTTGCTCACGACTTTATTAATATGAGCGTTTATTAACTCAGGGAAAAAAAAGATTTAAGTTTCTTGAGTTTGAGTATTAAGTTATGTATTGAAAACAAGGAACAGCTGTTTAAGACACTTCTGTAAAACAAGTGATTGACAGTTCCATGCAGAGGCTTGAATTGTGAAACAAAGTATTAGGTCAATCTAGTGTTATTTCTGGGGGTGATGCTGAATTTATCACCCAGCAGAAAAGAAACTTAACTCAGTGTCTTCCAAAGGCAGTAACATTAATTTCATCACTAGCGTACTTACTAATTAGAAAACACATGGAGCCACAGTACCTGACGGCTGGTCTCTCAGATTTGGAGGGTCAAGGACTGTTCCCCAGTTACTCCAATGGAGTATCACTGGGTCAATCAGCCACACTCCAAGGCAGGCCTCATGCCCAGGAGTAGCTGGCCAACACAAATCGAAATCTATGGCGATGTTTTGGTGGAGTTTCTGATTTGTATTGTTTTGATGTTTTTGTTGTACTGATGTTATGCTTGTTCTAATTTTCGTTTTTGTTTGTTTTTTAAAAGGAAGGAGTTGAGTGGGTAGGGAGTTTCTGGAAAAAATTAAGGAGGGAAAAACATCAAAATAATGTATAAAATGAAATTAAAGAGTATGCAGAAAGAAAAGAGTTTCTTTGTGGTTCCTGAGAATACTGGGTTCTGTGAGGTAACTTGGGAGAAAGAAAAAAAAGCAACTGCTTCCCTTTAATTTTTACCATTCTACCAGATGATTTTCTTGTTGAATGAATGCACAGTCAAACAGCTATTCATAACATAGTGCCCCCAGCACTTGTACCTACTCCATGTGGTTTGAGTTTCTGGAAGAAACCAAATTTCACTTATACTCATCTTCAACTGTACCTTGGGCTCCCAACTTGGCTGAAACTTGACTTGACAGAGGACCATGTAGGGCTGTGGCAGACCCCATGAGTAGATCTTAGTTCCTCTTCTGTGATGAGCAACTCTGTAGAAAACCTCCAGCCAGGGAAGTGTGAGCCATTGGGTGTTTTTTGCTTGATTTTGTGTTTTCGATTTTGTTTGGGGGGTTGGGTGTTTTGTTTGGTTTTGTTTCGTTTTGTTTACCTGATATTTTGGCAGGCATTGTGACACATACCTGTAATTTGAAGTGAGGTGAAGCAAAAGGATCTCACAGTTGAGAACAGCCTGTGCTACATAGCAATACCCTAAATAATAATAATAATAATAATAATAATAATAATAATAATAATCCTTCTAGAAACAGCTTGAAATTCCTGCTCTGATTCCTGGCATGACTCTTCTATCTATAACCTTCAGTTTTTGAGTCTCAGTTTCCTCATTCCAGGGATAAGGAGAATAAAAATAAATACCTTGCAGATTTGTAAAAGTTAAAGAAAAATAGGTAGAATTGCTAACAATCATATCTACTGAGGCTGTTGCACTATGGAAGCAACATAGGGACTTGAGTAAAGCAATTGCTGTAAGTGTTAAGAGCGCTGGGTAATGACAAGGAAGCAGGGACTTCGTTGCTCTCCCAGAGACTTGGGCTGACCAACACAGGAGCGGAGGCAGGAAATCAAGGGCCACCCTAGATTTTAATGATCCTCTACTCCTTGGGTGTCAGGCTTCTTGCATCTGAGCTGGAGCCCTTGCCGAGTGGTTCCCCTCTTCCCACAGGTGTTTTACAAGATAATGTCCATTTCTTGAATCATTAAGCCTAGAGAAAATAGTAGGCCACTCCTGATGTCCTGCTTCCCAAAGAGAGGGTATTTCACCTTGGGAAGGCAGGAGGGCTGAACATGAAGTCTTTAGAGAATATGCCAGGTGACTTGGTTTAATCTTTATAAAATGCAGAGAAGCCAGTTTAGACACCTCTGTATCCTTAAGCCAGTATCTGCCACATGATGATATACATTAAAAAAAAAAAAAAGCTGACAAACTAAAAGCTACATTATATTAATAAAAAAATGTGCAGGATCACATGACTCAATACAAATTTACAATGAATTAAAATTAAGTATTAGTATTTTGGCCCTTCATGATGTGTTCTTACTCTGCTGTAATGATATACTAGAAAGATAATTCCTACTGTGATATTATAGAAATACTAGCCTGAGACAGAGTCTGAGGCCAGGAACCAGAAAGAAGTACTACTCAAGAAAAAAAATCCACTCTAATCCTGAGCAAAAAGTCAATCAATCTCTTTCTCAATATAAAACTATAAGTTGCCCATTTAAATAAAAACCTTGTGTTGAAAATATTGCATGTGTAACTTTAGGGATAGTGGTAGGGGATATAAAGACAAAGTAAATGGAATAAAGATTAAGTATAAAATCCTAAAGCTAGATAAGTAATGCAGAAAAGTAAACTTTTAGTAATATTTAAGTATAGGTACCAGGGAAACATCAAATGGGCAATTACGGAAGAACAGGAACAAGGGAAGGCTGTTCTGGGAACTGGTCTCCTCTGTTTCATCACTGAAGGTCCCATTTGGATCTTCCAAATGCCTTCCCACCACCTTTTTTTTTTCCTACTCATAGGTAACAGACAAATGTGGAATCTTGGGTGTTTATTTTTATTCTCTTGAGCTAGATCATTTGATCTCTATTTTAAAGAAGTGCCTAAAGTTAGTTCCAGATTCTAGTTTCCTGGCTCAACAGCTGCTTCTACCAAGACAGGAACCAGTGAAGTTTCACTTCAGTGAAACCTGAATAGGATAAAAGGTCTATCTGTGCAGCAGCAGGCTTTCAGCAAAGCTCCAACATTAACCTGTCATTGTATTTGTTTTAAAGTGTTCTCTAAAGTGGGAAGAAAATGTAAATCACTACCTTATTTCTTTTTATACTTTTTATCTTGTGTCTCTCTTGTATCGGACCTTGTAATTTAAACTAGTCATGCTCCTGTGAGTGTTCTCCAAAGAGTTCATTACTAGGCTCAGTTATAGTGTGTAGTCAGTCATTCTGTCGCAGAGGGGCATGTCCGTTAAACTAAAGTACAATTCTAATTATTGATGGCTTACTAGGTCCCAAGTGCCTTAGCATATATTAGAGACATTAAAAATTCATAAGTTAAATCCTTATCCTGGAAGAGCCTAAGGTTTAATTGGTGAAGCAAAATAAGCTAGAACAAAATATGCTCACATAACAGAGTGTATTATTTAGGACATAAGGGCTAAATTCAAAAGCTGTGATGGCTGGTATGATGGCAGAGTTTTCAGAGAGAAGTGAAATTTAGCCTAAGCATACTTTGTGTGAATAGAAAGGAATGTGGAAGAATCAAAATAACCAGGCATAAGCATATTTCTGAAGCCCCTTGTTCTGTATTTGGCAGATAGCATGTTTTAATATGACCATCTGAAATCCTGTTTGGAATGAAGGAAGGACTGAATGAGTTACCTTATGAATGGGCTGTGAAATGTTCAGTATGTGCTGCTCACGGTGCGGCTTCGGTGAATCACACAGCATCCAGCATGTTGAGGTTCATCCGTACTGATGGTGGTCCTGGGATTAACGGGAGACAAGAATCCACCTGGAGCCTCTCTGGACCAGAACTTCCTAGCACCTAGCATGTCTCTCCTAACTCCTGCCAATATCCCAAGCCTTCCTCCCACTTGCCTCCAGACACAGAAGAAAGCTAGGACTCAATCTCACAAAATCTATGGTTAGTTTCCTGTCACCACACAGGTCTCTGTCAGGTTGTATCTTTGTCTCTCCCAGCGTCACAAAGTCAAGTCTTCATTCCCCAGCTGGTGGTGCTATTGAAAGTAGGGGCCTGACTGAGGGAGATAGTGGCATATATCTCCTGCCCCTTCTGCTTCCTGGCTTTCATGAGATGAGCCTCTTTGCTCCATCATGTGCTTCCCGATGTTCATCCTTGCCTCAGGCACAGAACATTCCAACCAAATGACCATACACAGACACCTCTGAAAGTGTGAGTTAAAATTAAACTTTCTTTTTTATAAGCTCGGAAGACGAAAAAACCCCAATAAAAATACAGACAAAGAAAGCTGATTAGGCTTTAGAGGAAGAAC